TGGGAGACTGTACCAGATGATGCGAACAGCAGCTTCTGAATCTTGCCATGAACAGCCTGTTTTTGTTCCACTTCTTTTGCGGATTCTTTGGGCCTTCTGTTCCCGACCGAAGCCACCCTAGATCAAGACCTAGGACCTAGGACAGCGACAGGGGTGGCCAACCGCATCCAGCATCCACAATTAGTACCGCAGCTATTACGATTACAGTTTGCAGTGCCTGCACAGAGAAATACAAAGGTCTGGAGAGGAAGCGTGTCCTGAAGTATCCGCGCACATGTCTCTTGCTGCTGCTCCAGGTGGTCAGTCGACATGAGTGATTCTGTGGATGCTTATCTTTCGGCACAGTGTCAGCCTCGGCGTGACCGCGTGTTCAGCTCAACATCCGCGCGACTAGATGGGGCTAGCGTAGGCAGAAACCTTCCCTGGAAGATCTTCTCGAAGGGGAGGTGTATTTCGAACTGGGACTGGGTTCCGAATGCATGTCGTGAGTGGAGGCCAGCATTGCTTCCAGACTTGGGGCCCTCTGAACTTCCCAAATGGCCAGAGCGAGCATTATCGGGCGTCGTGGCTGATCCTCATTGGCCGCTGGAGACCCGGTCTCATGCGTTCGGTTGCATATGCTGATGCGGGTGGTGGAAGGTGGGACAACTCTGGCGGCTTTTGGTTGCTTGCGTTGAGGGGCATGTGACAGGTTGCTTGAGGTGATGGGGTGTGGTTTGGACGGTTGATGGGCAGTGGTTGCTTACGCTGATGTGGGGCGTGTGCCTCTTCCTTCGCCTTCTCGGCAATGGCCAGTTTCGCCTGAACTGTGGTCACGATCCTTTTATGCTGGCCTGCAAAGAATGCACCCGGGCACCGCAAGTTGCAAGAACCTGCTACACCGTCCTCGAGCATACTCTGGAAATGCTCACGCTGCTCCTGCCAGCGGGACGACAGACAGCGCAGGCCTACTGACGCGCTGCCCGTGCTCCCGCCCACATGCCACTGCCCCGGCCTGCAAGGCCTGCGCGTGCGCTCGCATCGCTGCCTGCGTATATAATTGCATACTGAATGTACCGCGATATACTGCAATTAAAACCAATGTCCAAGAAGCAGACAGGCCATGCTGTGCCACGCTAGCCTCCAGGGTGGCGTTTTGCACTTCTTTGTGCTCCTTCACACAGAGACATTATGAGGGGGCACGGCAAGTTGCAACAACCTGC